AGAGATAGGTTCATGTATTAAAACTAATTATTGTGTTATTGTATGCATAAATGTGGGCCTATCAAAATTAAATAAATATTTAAATAATTAAATAAGTAAACAAGGGTATTTTAGTAATTTGATGAATAACTTCCACAAATAGACCCTGTAATCACGTTAGCATTCAGATTTAACCTAATTTCTTTTCTTATATACACCTTCATCGATGTCTTCCAACCACTCCGCCACCAGCAGCAGGTCACCGCCTCATTCAATTACCGTTGTCGTTAGGGTGCTAGATGAGTTCGAAGAGGCGGCGTCGATACCAGTCGGAAGGTTAAGGCAAGTGGTTGATGCTATGGCCGTTGAGATGCATGCTGGTTTAGCCTCTGAGATGTTACTCACCTTCGTCGACAATCTCCCAGACGGGTTCGTATAGCCATTAACACATATCTCGCTCATAGATGCATATATTATACTCTAAAATTAATGTATTTGTGATTCTCTTCCAAGTTTTTTGTTCCAAGCTTAACTTCTTGTGAGAAAAGCATTCCCTGGTGCTAATTTGATCGAATTCTTAATTCTTCCTACATTCAGATGCTTTTAATCGGTATCTCGAATTCTCATACTGTTAATTTCAACTCTTTTTACTAATGCTGCTGCTGTAGACTAATGTATCGTCTTTCTGGGTGTTGTTTTACATTGTATTCATCTTTAAAATATCAATTTTATGAAGGGAATTTGGGTTTGTTGATTCACAGGAAATGAAGAAGGAATAAATTAGTTTTTATTTTTTATTTTTTGTTCTAGCAGCCTCTAGACTCAGTTTAGCGTTTCTTGAATTTTTGTTGAAGTTTGTGTGATTTTGGTCAGTAAAGATGAAATGAATAGGGGATATTTTGCTGCCTTCGTTATGAGATTTGATTGTAACTCTTAGGATGCACACCAACTGGTCGATAAAATGCTTGAACCAACCTTTTCAATCTTTATTCAAGACCGTTATTCAGTGTATGCTTAAGTTTCCTTTGGGTATGAACTATGAACTATGAACTACGAAGCATGTGTTTTAAAATTAAATCCAATTTTATCTTTCTTTGGTATAATATATATATATA